GACTGTCCCAACATACCCAGGTTTTGCCCCCCGCTAAGGATTTCACTGATTGGCATATCAAAGACAGCCTAATCCGACACCTAGTGCAGTATCATAATCGAGTCTAGGGGTCRGGTGTAACTTTCCAGTTTTGCCCACTAATCACCAAGGTCCAGGGCAATACTAAAAATCTGGGCCGATTCAGGGTTTCAAGTAAACCTACACTGCATGTACCTTGGGTCTCACCCTAGCAGCTGAGACAGGCCACCCCAACACTTGGTGGCACATCAGTGTCAGCCTTAGCAAGATAAATCTCCCCAGACTTATCCAACGACTGTGAACATTCTAAACTAATACGAGTCTCATTATGTGTCCAGTTTAAGGGTATTACACAGAAACACACCACAGGAACATGAATCAAATATGTTACTTTATTCATTTACAATAAATGTCATAATGTACATCAGTCTGATTGGAGCTAAGGGCATACATTGTCTAACATAACTCAGGGAATTCTTTGAAGGAGTAATGTTACTAAGAGCATTTGCGCAAACAAAGGCATTTGCAAGAGTTCTCAACCACCTGATCTGCTTGTGAGGGGGCTTGTTATTAAGTGCGCTCTAATAACAAATACAAGGGGGATGGGTGGTGTTCTTAGAATTGAAAATAATGCTATGATTCGGTGTAAATCATGGGCACTTCATATTATTCAATACAGTGTAAGTGCATCAGCATTGAACAAGGTCCGGTTTCCTGAGCTAGACATGCATTACTGGTATAGATAGAACTAATTCAATTAAAATGCCTTTTGACAGTAAAAAATGGCAAGAAAGAATTTGGTGAACATGCAGCTTTTGTGAAAACCATAGAGCGTCTGCTTAGTGTTAGGTACTGCCTAACTCAGAAACTGTTCGAGGTGTCTGGCCTCCTGCCGTGAGAGAGAGAGAGAGAGAGTAGTAACTTCTGTTATCCTGGCTGTAGCAGTTTGCCTTATTATATAGGCTTACACTGAATCAATTATTGGCTTCTTGGCCTCTTGGTTGTTACAATCTTGGTTGTTACACTTCAGTTATGCCCACGTGGCTCTCTTGGCTTTCTTCTTGAATAAACCTTGATACCACTTGGGTCTATGGCCTTTGTGGTTCTAATACTTAGGCCATGTTCTTTTTTTTTTATTTTTTCTGAAACACATTTACCCATGTTCTTTTTTTGTTTGATTTATCTAGGTAAATGAAATCCTTTATTTTCTCATGTTCTTTTGCAACACCCACTTTCCTGGGTAAATTGCTATTTTTTCATCTCTTTCCAATTTTACCCCTTGGCCCAAATCCATGTTTTTTGGACATTTTGTCTCATTAACACATAATCTGTCCAAATAATAGGCTATGTTCTTAGGCCATGTTTCTGATAGGCCCCCAATTATCCTCACATATGCTAGGAGAGGGAAAGGGCTGTTAGACAGTTTTGTATGCCCTTAGCTTCAATCAGAATGATGTACTTTATGAGTTTATTGTAAATGAATAAAAGTGCATATTTGATTCATGTTCCCTTGGTATGTTTCTGTGTAATACCCTTAAACTGGACACTTAATGAGACTCGTGTT